CCCAGATAATCCAATTGACGTACTCGTCAATCATCAATGTTTAGTTATTACTTTCTTCCATTATCTTTAGTTTATGGTTTCACTATCCAATTACTAACACTAATTGGATATAATTAGATACCGGTAATAGTCCTAACTTAGACAAGGGTGAGTATATTCGCCAGACTTTTTTAATAGTATGACGCATGGATTATAGGCAACACCAGGGATGCTGGATAATCAAGTCATTTAAATCAGTTCTCCATTTTCCTCACATAAAAATATTCTTATTTCAGACTTTTATTAGTGTACCTTTAATATAGCAGAGTGGTTACATTCCCTTCAGCGACAATCCCTTTGAACTGGAATGTACACTGCAACTTAGCCATGAATTCTGCAAAGCCTAGTTTGTGGTGATACACCCCTTTATAATTTTTACTTTAATAGAAATGTTTCTAAATGTTTGACAATACTGACAATTGGTGGGATACACACCTTATTGGTTGCTACACTGTCTGCACCTGGAATTGCGTTTGGAGCCGACGGAGCACTCGCAGCTTCATCCAGATACGAGGTATCATCGTCCATTAAAATCTCGTCACCGAGGGCATCAAGTTCTGTAATTGCAGAAACAAAAATCATTTCAGATATCTGAGCTGAATTTAAAATTGGCAGTATTGAGAATGAGCATTGCATTATGGGACACAGATTCACAAAATAACAAAAATAGGTTTTAGCTTCTTATCCTAGAGTATGTTTTTTTTTTTTTAATTTTGCATACCGGCTAAGTAAGCCACATTTGGTAGAATGTGAAAATGTTTTTTTACTAATCCAAATAAACTTTTAAATGCATGTACTGAAAACATTTTTTGATATTCTTTAGGCAGGGGTACCATAGAGAGGGCCACTCAAGCATGCAAACACAGATCTAAATGAAAACACTTGTGAAAAATTGAAATGCACTCAAATAATAAACACTGCAGTCAAGAATATATGACTTTTGAATGTTATATACTGTGAAATACTTTATTTTAGCTAGATTTAATTTTCGCTGAAAAGGCTTTTCGGGCGTTTTATATGAAATTTATTTTCACTGATTTTTGATGAGTTGAATGTGAAATATAGGAAAAGAAGCATATTCGCTGGTTTTTATTTTCACGGAATCATTCCTTCAGCGAAAAAAGCAAAAATAAGTTCCAAGCAGAAATAAAGTATTCTACAGTAAATCGTATTTACTGGCTTTCCTGTTGTAATAACAATATCCTTTTTTAGCACAAATATATCTTTGTTTTGTCCAAGTATGGCTTGCGTTTTCCCTGACTTGTACCTCACTTCAGTCAAGCACTGAATGCATACAACGGTGTTGCCATGGCGACATCACCAACTCAAGGAGACTGCTACCCATAAATGGATTACGGATTACGTCCCATGTGTCAAATCACATGCAAAATAAAGACTTATTTGAATTTCTTATGATCCTCAATTTTTTTTAAATAACTCTTTCCGCAACTTTGAAAAAAAAGCATGTTAACTTTCTGTGTTTGAAATCGTTTTAATTGTTTACATCAAAAACAATGAGGTCATACTCCACATCAAGTTTCACATCTACGAGAATCTTTATTTTTTTATTGGACGAACAACATGATGCATGTCATTTATTCAAAGCATCAAAACAGAACTGGTTTCAGATGCGTAAATATTTAGTCAAAGGTCAACATCGGGACAACTCAGGGCATTCACACACCACATCAACAGTCGTCATTGAATTCAATACAGCTTGAATACAGCTTGAATACAGCTTGAATACATTTTAATCTTCTCGAGAATGAACCGCTGTATCATGACATTATAAATTTCAGTTAACATATTAGAACTGTTTGTGTCCACTTCATTTTCAGAACATCATTTGATTGACATTGATTGACTGATTGCGTGAAGTCTAGATCTAAAATAAATCACTGGGCACTAAACTGATGCAGTGCGTTGCAAATACCGAGTACATAGTGTTGAAACAATAGCATCACTTATTTTGAATATTTTTGATGAAATGGAAACCTAGATAATTTTATTTATTCACAGTCTTGCCATAATTTTTGTTGTTACAGCGTCCAAAGACAAAACCAGCAGTTCACTGCTTGTTTTCCATGGAGTACTGTCATATTTGCATACATCATCAGAGATGTCAACAACTCCTATATTGGTTCAGTTGGTATGGTACGGCGACTAACGTCTTATCATACAGCGGGAATCGACCGAGCAAAGTGATTTTGATTAATAAGTTTATTTTTTTGGATGCTATTATAACCACGACTGAGAAAAAATCCATTTTGTCCATTTAAAATTTTAAGTCTATCAGACCTTCAGATGGAATTTTTTCAATAAATCTTTTAATAAGAAATGGCAAGTAGACTGAATGTACACTTTTTTTCACTGCTGAGTATGCAGTCGACTATGAGAGACAAAAAATTGCAATCTCCTCAAAGGGCAGTAAATAAAGCACATTCCAAACTACCAAATAAATGTCATAACAAGCCCCTTACCTGCTTCCAACTCATCTTCATCTAATTCAGGCATGCCATAACTCCTTCCTAATGTCTCTTGTACTTCATTGGCTTGTTCTAACATGTCTTCCATGTCATCTTGGAGATCCTAATATGAGAAAAAAAAACATGATGACAACAAGGACCTATCAACTATTTTTTTTTTTTTATTTATTTATTTATACTCTGGGTAACTCCTCAACTTTTTCACCACCAGACAAAATTTGTCTGCACTTTTTTCTTATATTGTTTAATATTTCTGGAGATGAACCCTAATTTTGGAGCCAACAGACAAAATTTTAGTTAATTTTCAGTTTTCACTCAAAACATTTGTCTATTTTTGTCCCAATCTTCGGAAAGAAAGTGTAGACTATAAACAGGACTATTTTGTGAATTTGTAATGAAAGTGGGAACTAATGGTAAAAAGGTTAAGGCATTTCAGGCCGAATTCAAATTTTGCACTACCAACAGTTGTTAAAGCCAGATGAAATACAAATGTATATACATAGTATTAGATATGGGCATATGGGCAACGTAACTATAGGTTCTATTAGGGGAAAACAGACAAGATATATGTTGCATCACTAAATAATTAACATATCCACTGGGTCAACAGTCAACTCGACTGGATTATTCAAATTTCAGACTTATTTTGCTTATGCAATTATTCTTGCTGAACCCCCAACCTAGCGACTAGTGGCTCACAGCACCAAAGTTGTTCCTTAAAGGCTATAGTATCCCAAAGAACAAATGTTGCACTTTTGAGAAAACTGTGGCCCACAGCAATGTTGCAATTTTTAAGAAAATAGTGGTCAATGGGAACAATGCTTTTCCTTTAATTTATACAGTGACTTACTTCTATCTGGTCTAGATTGACTTTCTTGTATTCTTTTTTCATTTCTTTGACACCCATTTTCATAGCGTCTACTGTCATTTTTGTGTCCTTTAGTGTCTGTGTCGCGTAGTTGGCTTGTTCCATATTAAATGATTGCTGCATAAGACTGTCCCTTTGTTGTTCATACCTAGAGTGTGTGGTACAGAAAAAAAAAGAACAAGTCATTGTCAATGACACGTCCCCGTTCCGTTCCGTTCCGTTTCGTTCCGTTCATATTTGAGTGACATATACATTCAAATGCACCTGCATATGTACAACACATTGTACTAAATCTGAACAAAATCCATATGACTGAGATCCGGTTCCGGAATTGTGAAAATATGTAATTTTGATGCATTTTCGGCCTTAAAATGGTAATCATTCAGCTATTGTTAAGCAGATCATGAAACAAATGCACATGCATATGTCCCATATAATGTGTGATGTATGAGTGAAGTTTGAACTTAATCGGTTCATGCATGTTCGAGATACAGGTGATCACGGATGCACAGATGCACAGACACACGAACGCACACAGGGCAAACCATAAGTCCCTGTTTTCAGACTACGTCCGAACGGGGACTAAAAAGACAAGGCATTATTAATGAATGGAGGAAAATAATTCAAGCTCATATCAACCACAGTCAGCTGGTGTACATTTGAAAACACATCACA